CTCTTTCTTCTGTTTTTTTTTTTTTTTTTTTTTTTGGTGTGATGCTTTGTTAGTTCCACATTAATCTCCACATCTACACGTTTTCATTTGATAGATATAGCAAATGTAATTTCATTAAAGAAAATGCATAAAAAGCATATCTATTTGTTGGAAGATATTATCCTCCCTAGTTCCTACCAAACATGAGTTGAAAACTACTTATTTTCTTTGCTAAATATGTTGAATCTCTTATCAGTGGGAAGAAGCTTGAGCTAGTGGAAAAGGTGCTAGAATTATTAGCGTATCCATGTCGATACACGAGAAAGACAAAACATGAGAAAAACAAGAATGTTTGCTGGCTCAATTGCAGCCGCTCATATTTTTTTGTTGACCTCCTTTCAATTTATTAATTTAAATTTTTAATTTTATATCAAATTTAATTTTTTTAAAAGTTTTTAACTTTAACCAATGACCGCGTTTGCTTCGGTTTTTATTTCTGTTTTTCACATTTTTTGAGAATAAAAAATGAAAACACTTATACAAAATGCGTTTGGTGTAAAATTTTCTAAAAGTTGAAAACAAAAATATTTGTCTTTTTTTGAAAATTTGAAAACGGATTAAATTCATTTTTCATTTTTCTTTTTATTTTCTCCCTTCTCCCTTCTCTCTCTTCTCTCTCTTCATTTTCTCCCGCCGTCGAACCTCGCTGGGAAACACCGTCACAAGCCACACCCAAAACCGGCGAATCGCGACCCCCTTCTTCTCTGCGCTGCCGCTCTCGGGGGCGCTTCTCCTCCACTGTCGCCGCTCCTTCGTCATTTACGATGTTGTCATTATCGTCATCGACAAGGTTGTTGTCGAAATCGTAGCTCCTCTTGGATCCAGAGTACTTTCGGGAGCGAGAAGCCGAGGAGGAGGAAGCGGCTTTACCGGAAGAGCTGCGACTGAGCCTCCCGCACTAGATGAGAATGGCGTCCACCTCCTCTTTGGTGCAGTTGGAAGTCCTCACAACAACAGTAGGTGCAGGAGCATATTCAGAGTCTTCAAGTGGTAGTCATTTTTAGATATGGTTTTTTCTTGAATCTGGTTTTTTTGTTGGTAGTCATTTTTGGATCTGTTTGAAGTGTTGGGATCTACTGGTACTGGTACTACTACCACACTTGCTTGTGCCGAGTGATTTAACACGACATTTTTATTATTAACAGACGAAGAAGAAGAAAGAGGAGGAAGAAAGAGTTTCTTTTTGCTTAGACAAGTACCCATTGACTTAACTAAACGACTCGAAGAGAAAGAAATAACTTGAGAGACCGGAAAGGAAGAAAAAACGTTTAAAGAGGCGAGAACTTAAATTAAATCACCTAACACAATTTTAGTTTTTTTTAAACTGAAAACAATCTCAGAATAAAACTATCAAACACATTTTCAGAAATGATTCCAAAATGAAAATAAAAATGTTTTCGTTTTCATTTTCATACAAAAAATAAAAACGTTTTGGAACCAATTCCAAACACACCCAATGTCTTGAAAGTTTTATATCTATTTTTACGTTGTATTATTTAAACTCTCATGCATTGCTCTTATTTGGAATTAGTACTCTTACTTATCTCCCTCGGTAATAATTTTCATTATGAATCAAACAAAATTAACCCAACCATAACATTTTTTTTAAGAAAACATAAATTTAATATTAATGTCAGCATAAACAAATTTAACAAAATAAAACTTGAATTTTTTTTTTCTCTTAAAAAGGAAGAATTTTTACTGTAAGTTGGTGCAGCCCACGGAACTTTAGAGAATGGTTGTAGATTTTTCGTATTTGTACCTTTTTTGTATTGAGAATTCTAAAGCTAAGGTTAAACGATACATTTTAAAAATTTTGAAGTAGTAAAGTGGGGGTCCGTTTAGTTCGTTGATTCAAATTTTGTATTTAAATTGAAATGTGACTTTATATGATAGTTTTTTACAGTAATAAAAAAGTTAGATGTGACTGTTTATGAGAGTTTTTTACTGTAGCAAAACTTGAATCGGTAAAATAAATGTGACCCGTATGTTTTTAAATATCAAATCATAAAATAAGAATATATAGGCTTTTTTTTTTGCATGGTCAGTGGTCACCCCTCAATTTTACGAGTTTAGTAAATTAGTCTCTTAAATTTTTTTCTTAGCAATTCACCACTTAAATTTTAAAATTTATTGTATTGCTGATCAAATTGAGAACAAAGTTAAAAATTCAGACGGTATCTTTCACGTGAATGTTTAATAAAGATAATTCTAGTATTTTTGTATCAAATTGAACATTTTAAACACATCATGAATGGTTTTTTTTTTTTTTTTGAAATTAGGGACCCTCAATTTTTTTATTAAAATAGTTAGCTCCCGATTTCAATAAAAATTTTTGCTTGTGATGCATATATAAGGATCAATTCAATGCAAAAATATATGTTAATTATCCTCATTAAACACTCACATAAAAGACACCCTTGTAAAGTTGAGGAGGTGTGCATGTAAAATAAAGTTTCAGGTATAAATAAGATTAATTCTTCAAAAAAAAAAAAAGAGTGTTTTAATTCGAGAAGCAAAGAGGCAGAATGGTCATACAAGAGAGTTTGAACCTGATGGTTGGTGAGTGATTAACAACTAATAGTATTGTTCACAAGCAGTCAATTGTAACACATAATAGTGGTCATATCCACATAGAGGTGACGAAATAAATAAAAAAATTAGCACAATAAGAACGTTATAGAAAAAGAAATAACAAGTAAATTAAAGAAAAATCAAAATTTTTGAGACTTTATTGCAAATAAAATAAAAAAAGAAAATTTGTATGAAGAAATTTCAATAATAAAACGGTAAGACTTAAAGGGCCTGTTTGGAATCATTTGCATTTCCGTTTTGCACGTTTTTCAAGAACTAAAAAATGAAGATGCACTTAGAAATGTGTTTGGCATGCATTTCCTGAAAAATAAAAATTGAAAACGTTTTTTCCTTTTTCGTTTTCCCTTAGCAAAACTGAAAATGATTGAGGATCGTTTTCTGTTTTCCGTTTTCGTTTTGCCCAACTCCCCCATCCCCCCGTGGGTCTTGAATAAAAAAGACAAGCCTTTCGATGGGATTTTGAAAAAAATCATCATCTTTCGCAGGTTTTACTGTGAAAATATTGCCCTGCAAAATTTTTAAGGAATGAATTGCAAATTTCTTTGATGTGTGGAAGGACGAAATGTGGTATTAGAACAAGGAATGGTAGTGATAGAAAGGGAGCCTCTAAACCGAATATCTTGGTTTAGCCCCACCCATTTCATGCACCCATACAATTACGAGAATGGAAATGTTTATTTAATATATTATTATTTTAAATATTATTATATGTTTTTAAAATTAAATCACTAAATATAATTTTAATTTTTTTTAAACTGAAATCAATATTGGAATAAAATTACCAAACATATTTTCAAAAATAATTTTAAAATGAAAATAAAAATATTTTTATTTTTATTTTTATAAAAAAATAAAATTATTTTAAAATTAATTTTAAACGCACTCAAAAATTTTTTATGTTTCGTTTATCAATTTAAATTTTGATTCATAATATAAAAGTATAGAGTAAACTAATTCTTACGTTAAAACTACAGAGATAATTATTACCAATTATCTAAAATCAATAATATATTAAATTGATAATAGACAACTCGTAAAATAATTTATGTAAATTTGGCGAGTAATTTCAAAACTGTAAAACAAACGTACGGATAGAGTTTTTTTTGGCTAATAAAAAAAAAAACTCCGTAAACAGGAAAGCAACAAAAGCAGCTATCCTTTAAGCTGATTGGGTCAGAGTGTTTTCTTGAGCTGTGTGTCAGATTAAGCATTTTCAGTTCGCATCCCAAGAACCCCCTAAATGTATTTTTGATCAAACGACTAGGACTTGTTTTTCTTTTCTTTTCTTATTTTTTTCTTTTTTAATAATAGGTGAGCATAATTTTGTACTGCGATTGAGGGAGAGTGCAGACAAGATCATGGTATCTGCATGTTTTTATTGCATATAAGCCACTGCAAAAACGGATCATGCAAATCCTTTCTCAACTTTTTTCACTTCTCTCTCTCTCTCTCTCTCTGTGGAAATAATAAAAATAAAATAAAATAAAAAAGTAAACTTAACAAATGGCAGATGCCATCCCATCTATCCATCCATCCATCCATCAATTTCTTCTTTCTTTTTTATTTTTTTCGAAAGGTCAATTTCCTCTTTCTTGACATACTAAAAAGGAAACCCAATTAAAAACACTAAATTAAAAAATAGTGTTTCTTATCTACAATACTAATTAAAGCCATTACCTAAGTCGATGACTTTGATGACGCTTAAAAAAACAAAACCAAAGAAAGAAAATAAAGCCTCTATTATTAACATCATCGTTAATTTATGCGACGTTTAATTTATAAATTATAATTATGTGATTAAAATTATATTTAATTTATGTATATTTTTTATAAAAAAAATATTATAATAAATTATAAATTATAATTTAAATTAAGGGATGAATTTTTTAACCAAATAACTTCTTAATTATTTATTAATCAGCAACTTTCACAACAAAAATAAGTAAGGCTTTTTGTATTTTACCAATTTAAATTTTTAATTTTAAATTTTTATAATTAAAATTTTTTAGATTATGTCACATTTAATTTTTTTAGTACAGTTAAAATTTTTTAAAAAATATCACATTTAAATTAAAATTAAAAATTTAAATTTATAAAATGAACGAAATTTAAGTCTTATTTAATTTACTAATTAAAATTTTTAATTTAAGTTATAATATAATCTTACGTGAGAACTGAAAACTTTTTATTATAATAAAATTTAAAATTTAAATTTAAATTAATAAAATAAAAAGGACCTAAAACTATTCTCTCTCCTGGACAAGACTCTAATAAAGGGGGGATGTTTGGGATAGTGTGCGCTAAGAAGGGGGGCTTAAATGTGTGTTTGTGTTGGTGAGTGTGGAAGACACAACAAATAAGGAGGGGAAAGAGGATCTTTTAGGGGAGGAGGTCAGCAAAGCACGCTTTGCTTACATAGGTCAACAAACCTTAAGTCGTTTTTTCTAAGGGAAAAATTTGCCTTTGCTCTGGTTGCGTGCCTTTTTGTTCTAATTCCCTTTCTGTTTTCTGCTTCTTTCTGGTTTTTGTCATTCTTTTTGGAGTTCTTCTCTTGTTGTAAAAAAAAAAAAAAAAAAAAAAAACTCTCCTTGTGTGTGTATGTGTGGATTTGTTCATATCCCAAAAGGAGAGGAGAGAAAGTAGGAAGCCCACTAAACGTGCTAAAAATTTAAAAGAGAGAAAAAAAAGCTAGACATCAATACTACCCCCTATTATAGCTTCCTCCTCTCTTTCTTTTGCTTTTGGCTTGTTATTCTATATTTCTATCTGGGGTCTTCTTTTATTTTTTTCTCCTCCACTCGGTGGGGTTTCTTTTGTGGGTTTTTATAATTCTATGGTCATGTTGTGAGTTTCATTTCTGGGAGTACTAGTGCTGGTTTTAAGGATTTTCATGGGTTGTGGCTGTGAAACTGGGGTGGCTTTTTCGCTAGAAATTTTTCTTTTTCTCTTTCAGCTATACTATAGCAATCGTTGTTTTGAGCAATATTAGGGAGTTGGGCTGTCAAAATGTTGAGCTTTGGTTGAGGACTAAGAAAAAGAAGGTACATGACACTTTACATCTTTTGTTTCACTTGTTGTGTGCTCATTTCACGTGTAATGTGTTTGGTCAAGTTGTCTTGATTCTGATATATTGCCTCTTAACCTTTTTTTTTTTTTTTTTTTTTTATAAATTTCCCAGTGTAGTAGAAGTTGTGATAAAGAAAAAAAAAGGTAGTAATTTTCCATCTGGGTTTGTTCAAATCTGTTCCCTTGAGAGAATATAGACATGGGAGGAAGCACAAGAAGAGAAGAAATTTGTCCTCAGCTGCTAGACTTGATTCCCAAAAATAGAGAATGGCTTATGAGAAGAGACAATAACAGCTCTACTTCTAAAGATGAGAGAAGCAGCCATGGATCTTCTTCAGATGAGAAAAAGCTTGAACTGAGGCTTGGCCTTGGGCCTCCAGGTGAAAACTGGCCTCTCAAAAACGACAGCGGCAGAGAAATAGGTGGTGATGAAGATCAAAAGTCTCTTCTTTCTCTCGGCTATAGAAACCAAACCCCATGGCCTTCTTCCGGGAAGTTCCAGGGGAAAACGACGTCGTTTCTTCACTTGCCTGTTGCGGCAAAAGAAGCGTCACAGCCCTGTTGCCCTCAAGTTCAGAAAAATGCAGAAAAGAAGGCATTTTCTCCTGCAACTAATACAGCTGTTCCCAACAGCTCCTCTCAGAAAAGGTTCCTCCCAGCTTTTCTTTCTTTATTTTTTTGTTCCTATTTTCGTCTTTTATTTTTTACAGAGTATATTCACTCTTCTCACGTAATTGTTTCCTATTGCGTTGTGGTCCATGCATATTTTTGTTTTCTTTTCTTCTCGCATATTTATTTACTCGATCTTATATATATTTCTTTTGACCTTTTCTGAATGTCATTTCCGTAATTTCCTTACATCTATCTAAACTTTGTTTTGGTAAACTCACCTTTTCCCATTTCCATGCTAGTCTTGTAATGATTTTAATTTACCACCCATGTCCACTTTAATGAAACCTTGGATCTTATCTTTACTCTATTTGTAACCCATGCAGTTATTTCATCTCTTTTCTCAGTACGTGAAACTCTCTCTCTTTCCCAACAGTTTTTGCTTTTGTCATTTTTGGCCTAATCATTCTCTTAAACAAACAGAACTGCCCCGGCTCCAGTTGTGGGTTGGCCTCCAATTCGTTCGTTCAGGAAGAATCTGGCCAGCTCCAGTTCTTCAAAACCCGCAACCACAGAATCTCAAAACGACAAGATTCCAAGGGACAAACCGGTTGAAACTAGCGGAAAAGGTCTGTTTGTGAAGATCAATATGGATGGCGTCCCTATTGGAAGAAAAGTCGACCTTAAAGCCTACGACAGCTATCAAAAGCTCTCCTCTGCGGTTGATGAACTCTTCCGCGGCCTCCTTGCTGGTAAAAATACTAAAATCCCATTTTTTTTTTCCGAACTACATACAACATGTGTTGATCTGACTTGAGACAGAGTTGTTTTTTTTTTTTTAACTTTTTTTTTTGGTCTTTTGTTGTTATTGTGTTTATAGCCCAAAGAGATTCCTCGGCTGGTGGAATCCAAATCAAGCAAGAAGAAGAGAAGGCAATAACTGGATTACTTGACGGAAGTGGGGAATATACTCTTGTTTATGAAGATAACGAAGGAGACAGAATGCTTGTTGGGGATGTCCCGTGGCAGTAAGCATTTTCTCATCTTAATCTTGTTTTTAATTTGTTTTTATATTTTATATTTATCTCTTGTTTTATCTTTATCCTTTGTTTATTTATTCCATAATTTGTGTGGTTCATGTTGTTTAGTCATTCCCCAAGGCAAAAACAGCATTAGATTCCTAATCTTTTTAACCTCACAATCTCAGCTCCTGTTTATTCTATTTCCTTTTGTGTGTGTACGTTAGCTACATTCAAGGCAATAACTTGTCGTTTTGTGACATGTTAACGGTGGTTTGTAGAACGTTTTCATTTAAAATACATGAAATTTTTTTGGTATTTTCTAATTGAGTTTTCTTATGTTTGGTTGGCAGAATGTTTGTTTCAACAGTGAAGAGGCTGCGAGTGCTCAAGAGTTCTGAACTTTCTGCTCTTAGCCGTGAGTTTTGATATATATATATATATATACACACACACACACACACAGACATATGTATATATATGTACATGTATTTTATAGTTCTTGGTTGATTTGTTAATTGGTTCTAACTAGATGTTAATTTTTCTGTATCTGTTTTCAGTAGTTAGCGGTAAGCAAGACCGGATGGCTCTTGACTCTTCATTGAAGTGAAGAGAGTGGGAATTTTCAAACCTCAAATGCCCCACCAAACTCCAAAGTTTGGGAGACTTGTTTGTAATCGTATGTGACATTTTGTTTAATGTTTTTCTATGATCAAGAATTTTTTTTTGGTTTTTTTTTTTAAATTTAGCCTACGAACTCATGTAACGGTGGCGGGGTTCTATTCCTTTTTTTGCTGAAAATTCTGTTCATTCCTCTCGACTCCTGTAGAAAAAAAAAAGCCGGACAATATATGTTTCTTATGATGCCGTTTTTCACTATATTGTTTTTTTTGCTTGTGGAAAGAGGGATTTAATGTGAAATTGGGTTTTTGGTAACCTAAAAATTTCGACTTGTGTTAGAAAATGCAAATGATAATGAGAAAAAAAAAAGAAGTTGGTCCAAGAAACTTTGTTTTATTTATTTATATCTTTTTGAAGGAAGTTATGCTTCATTTTTACTATTGCACTGAGTTGAAATCTTGGTTATAGTGAGAATTTAAGAGGAGACAAGACTCGCATTTAGTGGGGAGTTTGGACTTTAATGCGTTCTTTAAAGGTTACAAAATAGCACCAATTTTGTGCTTATTATCAGACAGTCTTCAACATGATGTTAGTCATTTACCTAATTTCTGCTGGTTCTTCCCTTTTGATGTGTATGAGCGGATATCAAATAGGGATTTCTAATAATTGAGAACTTTGAAATTGACTCTTTAAATTGACTCGTATTTTTTTTTTTTTTTTTTTCTTCAAGTAGGCAGTGCTACACGCCCAACATAGCAGTAATCCCATCACTCACATATGTGGGTCCGTCCGTTTTGTTGCGGTGAAAACATTTTCTTTTTTTCTTTCGATTACACGTGCAACACCAACAACACCCGAACTCATTTGTTGGTAAGGCTAGTGGTGTGTTGGGATCAAAACAATTTTCCTTTCAATTATAAGTGCAAGACCAATAGGGATTGGCAACATTCCCATGGGACGGCTCCGCTCCGAATGAGGCGAGGATGAGACATAATTATTAATGATGAAAATGGGGATAAGGATAAAATTTAGTCTCTAATTTATGGTGGGGTAAGGTTGGGAAGTACCTTTCATCCCGCCTCCGTCCCAAAATAAATATGTTATAATGTTTTATCAAGATCTAAGTTTTTTGAATTATGATGCTTGAGAAAAAATAACGCGTAATTATACAATAAAGATTGAAGTTATTAAGAATGGACAAGAAATGAGATGTTTTTAAATTTTTTTTTTTACTTATGCGTTAGCTATTACTTTTGAATTTAGTTTCTAATATGTCAAGATTTTAATTTTTTTTATGAAACTTTTAATTTTAATCTAAATTTATAATGAATTTTTACTTTATTTTTATTTTAAATCGCTATAATTTTAAAATGCATAGTCCTATATGATTGAGAATGAGGCGGGTAAGATAAGGTTTCTCTAATGGAGAATCTCCGACTCCGATCTGCCCCTCTTTAAGTGGGGATAAGGACTGAGATGGAGATAGTTTAGGAGGGTGGGGATGGGGATAGGGATGGAAAATCATCCTCCGCCCTATTGCCATCCTTAAAGACCAACATAAGACAAAAGTTTATTTTTTTAAGAGATTTTATAGTACGCTTGGCGTATCAGTAGATTAAGTTTTTTTAACCGTTAAATCTGCGTATTTTTAATTTTTACGTAATTTTATATAAATTTAACAGATAAAAAATCTAACTCAACAATATATTAACGCTATCTTTTTTTTTTTCCCCCCTCCACACAAGACTCTACAAATAGAAGGGAATGATCAGCTGTAAAGCTCCTACGCTTTTATCTTTTTTGATTCCGTTTAAGCCAGCTCTTCAAAGTACATATACTATTCAAAGGTATCCTCTTTAGCTTTGGGCGGGGCGAAAGTATACATGTGTTCCCTTTTGTCCAAGGAGTAGACCCAAAATCCTCTACACCACCACTGACCTCTGATATTGATATCTCCTTTTCTTTGGACTCCATAATTTAGGTGCTACTTAAAATTCTTCTCCATTAAAGATTATTGTTTCCTTTAACACAGATTACAACTTTTCTAGTTCCGCTAACTTGGTCAATATACATATATATATATATATAATATTTATCATTATTGGTAACATAACTACCATAAGAAATAGACTTGATCTTTTCCCTTTTGTCGTGTGGTAGTTATTTTTTTTACCGACACGTGTGTAGCTAGATCACTTTTGTTTGGTCTATTTTTTTTTTTTTTTTTTTTGGTATGTTAATTCGCAAACAAATGAGTTTTTGAGATATTTTCACGATCTAATGACTCCCATAATTAGATGACTATGAAACACATTTGTGAGTGTCAACATAGCTCATATTATAAGACTCACCTTCTATTAGTGGCAGAGCTAGACACCGGCATTGTTCAATGACTAAAACAAACGTAAGAGTGGGAATAAAATTGGGGTGTAAATAAAATAAAAGTGGAATTTGGAAATGAATAAAAAGGAGGTTTTGGGAAGAACTGAAAGGTCATTGTCGTTGAGGGCTGCCTAACTTTGTTAGGGGCGAAAAACAAGACTGGTCTTTGATTCCCAAAAGCAAAATTCTGCGTGTGATTCCCTGGTTTGGAGTTCATAGTGAAGCTCTTTTCAAACTTTTTTTTTTTACCTTTTAGATTTTAGTCCCCACCCTCGAGGCCGTGTGTCTCTATGGATTACGATTCACAAACAACCTTTCAACAAAAGAAAAGCAAATAACACAGTTTTTTTTTTTTTTTTTGTTTGAAAAAAAAGGAAGAAAAACGAATCTTGAATGCCTCTTGCTTGTTGACTTGAATCACTTGTTCATTACCTCGAGATGGGGCTTCCCCAAGTCATATACTTTGGAATGTGGATTCACTGGGTATTCTGGCCATTTTCACAGAGATTTCGTATTACATATCGTTTTCAAGATATGCAAAATTGTGTTGTCATTGCCAAAGGTGTTGTCGTTTTTAAAGTAATTGTCGTTTCTGCAAGAGTTGTTCTTGTTTCTGAATTTATTGTCGTTTTATACATTATTGTCGTTTTTTGAATATTGACGTTTCAAGAATGATGTCGTTTTTTTTCCTCTCCTCGTTTAGACTTTGTTTTTATTTTTAAATTTTTTTATAATTGGTTGTCGATTTCACAAGTATCATCGCCTACAAAAGATATATGAATTCTCGGAGACATCATTTTTAGTAGTTTTTTTTTAAAGTACCATTTTTAGGAGTTTTTTGTGTGTGTTTTTAATTTGGTAATGCCTTTGATAAATAGGGATAATAACAAAAGCTGTATCTATATTAAAAAAAAAATGTGATTATTATACTACATGACAAAATTTATACCTTGAGTTGAAATTTAACAAAATTTTAGAATATTATAAATATAGCAAAAATGACATAGTAATTATCATAACGATATCATATTTTATACTATATAATGATATAGTCATTTATTTAAATGACATAAAAATGATATAAAATTTTGCTATTCTTGTAATATTTCAAAATTTTTCTAAATTTAAACTTTAATATCAAAATTTTGTTATATGTGTAAATCACCCATGTTAAATCCTTAAATGTTAGATTAAGTCAATATTAACTATACGAAAAGACTTTTATTACCATAAGTAATTGCTTTTAGAATTTCTCTCTTAGAGAACCATTATTCCATGAAGGATATTTGTGTTTTCTTTTTTTATACAGCTGATTAATTTTTTCTGATCCAACATCAAGATTGGATTTTGTGTTATCAGAAACGCACAGAGATGAATTTTGTCTCATAAGAAAAACACAAGGGATAATCTCTGAACATGGAATAGTTTCTTGCAATTAGAAAGCCCTAATTCATAAGGCTTAATCTAAAACCAAAGTGAATTCGACATATTTATCTCTGTTAAGTGCATCTCGCATGCCATTAAGAAAAACAGAAAGAACTTAATGGAGGGATAAAATTCAAGATGTTTCTATAAATTGTGGGGTATAATACGCACGTAAGTTCAAAAATTCAAGATGTTTTGGTGGGAATTTTTGAAATTCAACCTTCTTTTTTTTTTTCCCTTGACGGTCTTTTCGACTATTGTTTTTAGCGGATTGCTACTTTCAATGACACTATCGTTTATTGAAGATGTTTCACTTTCACTTGTAATAAACAAAAAAGATATTATATGTTAGAAAATATACTATTGACGTATTCGTTTTGAGCCATGAGGTACTTAGACATGAATACAATATTTTCTTTTTCCTATTTGATATTCCTGTCTATGACCGAAAGTTATCATTTGTTGTTGTTATTTTTTGTACTGGTGTGGTCTATGGCTCCCATTATAATAAGGAAAAAAAAAATGAAATTATTAGGATATAAATTCTGAATCACATACTCACACACCAAACCATTTGAAAGTAAAATTGTCATTCATTTGTTAGCGTCATTTATAAGGTGTTTTTTTTGTGTTTAATAAAAATGTTGCCGATTACATGAACATTGTCGTTTCTTTACGTGTATTCTGAAGGGGTGAAATTGGTGTACCTTAAATTTATCGTGTTTAGAAACTTGCGCTCTAAACTTTTAGCAAATGAGACCTCAAGTTTGAAAATATGTTGTTATTATATTCCAATAGCTGCCAGACGTTAGTTCTTGAACAAGAATATCTCCACACAAACTTGTTTTGTTGGTTGGCATGTAAACTTTTTAATTTTGATATTTTAGATCATAATTGTCGTCTATTAGTTGACATTAGTTACCAAATTGACCACGTTACAAAGGATTGTCGAAATTTAAGATCCTTTGTGCTAGAGTTAGAATTTTGAAGTCTTAACTTGTAAATGACAAAAATTTCACGATGCACGGATGCAATTTATCTTTCAAAATATTAGGTGTTTTAGTTAAGGTCTTGTTTCCTAATTCTCATTCCCTCTACAGTGCTTCAATTTAGCCCCTAAGGAAACCCTAATATCCTGTTGCCTCCTCCCTAATGTCGTTGGATCACTTCTGAAACTCTCATGCTCGATCGTTTTTCCCATGTTACTGTTCTTGTATGTGTGTATATCTTATATATATATATATATATACACACACACACACACACACACACACATATATGAACTTGCGTGTGTTTAGGGGAAAAGGGTAAAAAATATGACGATCGATTTATCGTCATCTCTTATATATCAAAAGTACCATGATGATCACCCTTATCAAAATCACCACATGCTGTTCCTTTTCCCATAGCCTCCCAATTACTCTCCTCTCTCTCTCACACACACACACACACACAAATCTAATTAATGATGAACGATACGTCAAAATTAAGGAAACCTCAAAATGTTTGTACTCCTATCGAATCAACCGCTCCCATTTAATTAAGAATCACTTGGCACTTGCATATTACAACTGACAACGTAATTTTTTTCCAATCATGAGGGATCGGATAACCATTTTAAAGAACCGCCTACATCTTTTTATATGTAATCTTTCACAATATATTAGTATCGCAAATGTAATTTTTATTGTATATATATGCCATCGAGACTAATTACATATAGTAAACTAGTTAGTTTCATTATATATATATATATATATATATATAATTATTAAAAACTCGTCCACATACATGTTCATTTTTTTCTCTTTTAGCCAACCTATTGGTTTTCCTTTGTCCTGTATAATGACATATACATTAAAATGCTAATCAAGAAACGGTACTAAAAACTAGATATATACTTAATAGAAATAATCAACCCGGTGTCAAAGCGATCCTCAGAAATCAATCATGTCATGTAATTCAAAAAGTAATTAATCTGTTGAACAGATCATCATTTTAACATTAACATATACAGGACCCAAATGCTTTTGGAATTGTACCTACAAAAAGCATTAATATCTCATGGGGATCTCATACATAAACTTATAAACCGTAATTAATCTCATCAGGATCAAGGAATTACAAGACAGGAATTCATGGATTTTTAGAAACAATTAAGAAACATATAACCATTAGTCACTTATAACATTGACTTAATTTGGATCATAAAGACCACAAGATCAAGAGGATTCGATAATATAGGCGATCTAATTAAATTATTAATTAGCCATAATAAATGCATATAATCTGAATTTTGAGATCGGCTTCTTACTTGGGTACCTCTTCAAAATCAGATGGCCTTCAATTTTCTGTAATTAATTTGCCATCAACACTACACAATAAATCCAGTTGATGATGAGAAACCTCTTGAAAATCCAGTTGTTCTCGATGATCTCTTCTTCTTTCTTCAGTAAGAAGCCATAAAAAATAAAAGTGAAGAGTAGAGAAAAGGAAAAGCCAGTTTTCCCTTTGGGAATTTTATTTGAATCAATATAGAGTACTCAAGCCCGGATCATGATCACCAGAGGAAGCTAATTATATACGGATGATCAGCTGCAATCTTATCATGACGTTTTGAATAATAATATTCTCTCCTTGTTTGTTGCGTTTTGATGAACCCTAGTCTTTTTGCTTTGCCTGGCTTTACCCTGTGTGCCATTTTTTGACATACATATTGTACACGTCCTATACTGAAGCAAAGACATATATACAATATACAAGTCACTGTATATTTCATCGTGTTTTCGCCACTTTCGTTCCTATATGTAAAGGGGGCCATTTTTTCTTAGTATCTACGTCACTCTCTCTCTCCACACACACATACAAGGACAAGAAAGAGCAAGGTTTCATCATTGTCTCTAGTACTCTGGTGCATATGTGCTTGTTTTGTGTGTAATTAACAATGGATAATGGATTTTATTACTTGCAAGAAATTATGCCTTTACCTAGATATGTGTGTGTATATATGTACGTATCTGTGTATTTATAAAATGTATACTGTACTGTGGTAGTAGTGGCTATATGACAGGTTATAATGACTAAGAACTTGACTTCACATGCTAGAAAGAGAGATTCATCAGAATGAAGCTAGTCAACATGCAAATGAATTTGTCAAGCTGGTGGGTTTCTTTTATTATTATTATTATTCCAATAGCACCAAGGTGATTTTGATTATTAGTTGCCACTCATTAGAGAAATGTTTCATCTATATATTGATTATAACATTTTACCTAACGGCAGTTTTCCAATTCTGAAATCCTATATAACTCCTCATAAATAATCTTACTAAACCTCTAATTTCTTCACGTGCATATGCCATGAAGGACTTTAGCTGCGATCGGGTCACTTTAGCGTATTTAAGGCGCAAATTATAATAAGATCCTATTTTTACAAACCCGAACAAACAACCGGTAGGTCAACATATTGATAGGTTAAATTTTTTGTCCGTTAAATTTATATAAAATCACATAAAAATTAAAAAATACGCAGATCTAATAATAAAAAAATCTAATTTACTGATACATCAAGCGTACCAGAGAATATCTCAATAAATAAACAAGTTTTCATAAACTTCAATAATGATTTTTATCCGGAATAAGACACTTTTGTATTTGTCCTCGCCGTTGAGAACAGTACTCATGATGGTGATAGATTCTCCTGCATGATATTCAACTAATAATGATAAGGTGGAAGAACAAGAAAAAGAACTTAAAACCGACAGCATAAAAACTTGAGCGATCTGTATCAACTTTAGTAATGGGGATATGGTAGTATTTTAATTACACAAAACTTGAGGGGCTTTTATTTTGATAAAACTGTATCCATCAGTTTTCACGAAGTTTCTTCTGCTGCAAGTGGAGGAGATAAAGAAGCTCTTTCTCACAAAATTCAACGTTTTAACTCATTCTCCTTTTGAACAAATCCAACTAAAAAAGATACCGATGTTAGAAAGGCAAAGATTTAGAGCACTCCCACTCAAATTTATATGGACGAATTTTCAATGGTTATGTTTTTATCAATAATTATTATTAAATATAAAAATATAATAATATAACGTGATAAAAATTTAATTTTATTAATTGACATAATTTTTTTTATTAATTATATAATTTATTATAACCATTAAATTAAGTAATTTAACTTACTGTTAAAATAATAATATCTATTAATAAATAAATATTGAAGTAATTATTGATGGGTATCTATATATAAGAAAGTGTAATGCTTTCTAATATTGGGCCACTTTCGACCAAAAGGTTGGCATTTTGGTCAAAATGGCCACCCTCTTTTTTTCTTTTTCAGTCCCTTGTTTTATCTGTCTTTTTGTTTTTTTACCTTAAATTTATTTATTTTCTCATTTTAAACCTTTTTTTTTATCCATTTTTAATTTTTTTCCCGAAACCTTATTTTGTTTTTTCATTTTTATTTTTTTACCATAAAGTTTCTTTTTTTATTTTTGCCCTAACACTTTACTTTTTTTTTATTTTGGTCCCTTTTTATCTATCTTTTTGTTTTTACCTCAAAATTTATTTATTTTATCTTTTTAATCTTTTTTTAACATTTTTTTATTTTTATGATGAAAATTTATTTTATTTTTCATTTTGGTTCCTTTTGTCATAAAAGTTTATTTATTTTTTCATTTCAGTCATTTTTTGACCCCTTTTTTTTATTTTTGCTCTGAAACTTTACTTCTTTCATCTTGGATTTTTTTGTCCTAAAACTTATTTATTTTTTATTTATCCTTTTTTACCCTTTTTTACTTTTTTCTTGCAATTTTATTTTTTCTCCATTTTTGTTCTTTTTTGTCTTAAAACTTATTTATGTCTTTATTTTTGTCATTTTTTGACCTTTTCTTTTACCTTTGTCATGAGATTTTATTTTATTTTTCGTTTTCGCTCTTTTTACGCTAAAACTTATTTATTTCTTCAGTTGACCCTTTTTTCACTATTTTTTTTTTATTTTTGCGCTGAAGTCTTAAAACTTATTTATTTATTTATTTAAATCTTTTTTAACCTTTTTTTTTTACTTCTTGCCCTAAAATTTAATTTAATTTAATTTTTTTTTCTTTTTTGAGATTTTATATTTAGATTTTATAATGCATTAACTTAAACTTAACACATCGATTACTGCACATATATCCCGATGAACAACTCCTAATGGTCAAACTTCAATGGATGTTTTTGTACCTGTTTTAAATATTGCCTGAGCTGTTAAACCTATTTCATCAAAGAACATCGGTAAATAGTCATAAATTACTACGGACTACTTTCAACTAGTACAAAATTGTGCATTGAATCTTTTGTTTATACGTCTAAATACAATTAAACAGTCACAGAAGAAAAGAGCTTGTTTGATTTCTCATAATGAGTCTTACAATTTATCATTAATGACTAAAGTCCATGCGACTTCTTTTTAAGAGTTCGTTATGGCTTCGAGCGACTTGTCATGAATGAAATTTAGCCATGATTTAAGAAAATCATTCACAAAATAGAATCCCAAGGAGAAGAATAACATACCAAAAGTAATATCTACTCCATAAAAGTAATTTGAGAAAATATTTCCACCAAAAGAATGGGCGTTACTTGACAAAGGAAAGGACCATCATTCGTTATTTTTATTTACCTTTTTTAACTTAAAAAGGTAAAAAATGCAGGCCGAAGCAGAATACCATTGCCGCTTACAGGTCCTGGTCTTATACATTCGTTCCACCTTTTCTTACAACCATAACTTAAAAATAAAACTCAGAGAACGATTTCCTAAACTGAAAAGAAAGAAAGAAAAAAGAGAAGAAAAGAAAAAGGGATCAAGAAAATAATAACAATATGATGAAACTAAAAGAGCGCTTTTAGGACATAAACAGGAAAAATGATAAAAATGCAAGGATAAAAGAAACTCAACTATTGATGGAACTCAGGAGGACTCCTCAACATCAGGGTACTGGGAGTGAGAAGCAGCAAGAAAAGCAGCTCCAATTCCCGACCCATCGTTGGAGTGCTCAATAACAATGCTTTCGGAGACTTTCTCTCCAATAAGTTCTGTTAGGGTAGACTCCAGGCACTTCCTATATTCAGTGTAATGCTCATAAAGTCCACCATCCAATGCTATCACTGTCTTTTGATCCTCCCCATTCTTCAATGTTTCTCTTCCCAGTTTTTTCAGAATGCCCAAAATCCCAGCAGCAGCAAGGCGGGCCCCACGTGTGGCGACGATGTTGCAGAGCTGAACAACAAGTTTTCTTTCTTTCAAAGAAGTATTGGTTATCTGAAATAAAAGAAAGCATTTATTAGAAATCAACATATCCAAAGATACAAATAATAGCAAATAATAAAATTATTAGAGCAGTTTACAGTGATGAGTCACCACATTGATGACTCTCAAGAAAAATACAGATTATTAGCCATGAGGTATGTTCATATACAAGGTATTCCGCAGGACAAAATGCAGGAAAGAATTGAGGAGCTCCACTCAGAATTGTAAATAATGCACAGAGAAATGGTGCATGTATCTAGCAAATAAGAGCAACAGAGAGACAGAAAAAATTTGTTCGGCCAAACTAAAATTAAGATTCAGATGAGGTAGAAGAGAAGAAATACCTCCAGGATATCTCTCAATTTATCTGCTACAACTTTAAGATCAGGGGATGTATCATGATGCATTGCAGACGTATGAGGCGTCCTGCATATTTCATAGCTAACAGTACTAAGTACTCCGCTGTACAATTCATTATATCCCTAATAGAATCTCAAATTTGAAAGATTTACACTGTCAGAAATGGCAAAATTTCAAAAACTAGGGCAAAATATGATCACAAAAACGTCATAATCTAGAATGCTAGAGTTTTGAATTTTTGAAATTAAGGGGCTAAAGCCAAAAAAGGCCTAAAGACGCATCCGAATCATGAGGAAATTGATTATTGTTACAAGAAATAGAATGCAACCTATAACTCATAAGTTGAGAAAAAAACCTCAATATAAATGGAACTTTTAGTTTTGGTGGAACTGTATCACCAAAAAGTGAAGCTTCTTCAGCAATCCTACATAAAACCTTGCGGACAATTTCTCCCAAATACATCCCAGAAATTAACTTCTCAAAAATCTGAGGAAAACAGTGGAAAGGTTATATACGTATTGTAGTCTTAAGTCTTAACTAAGAAAGGAAAGCAACAGCTATATCAAATAGAACACCTGTTCACCAGGGTTTAGACTCTCAGCATCCAGAGAGTGATCATACTCTGTCAGTGGAAGGTGTGATGACCTAAAATTACCCCACTCCATGTTGATAACCTGGATTTAAATTGACATTAATTTGATGTTGTGTATTCACCCTCTGCAAATTCCTCATTTCTACCATTAAATTAAGGGAAACAAATGAAGAGAGTGTGTTTACTAGTGAAATTGCGATAGGGTGAAAACAGCCATAAAAATACCACTGACCATCTCTCCAGATTTAGGTAGGAGGCCATGCCATTTTGGTATGGCATGTGCACGTTCCACATATGCTGCATTTGTTCCAGTACCTAAAATCACGGCAGCAACAACATCCTTGTTGTTGTATCTGCCTCCCGCTAGTGTCCCAACTGTATCATTGACCTGGAAAGATTAATCTTGAAAAGTTAATGATCAAACGACTCGAACGGGCATTTTCACAAATAAGAAGATATCTGAGACAGGGAACAGTAAATGCATTCCTAAGAAGCTATCAAGTAGAGCCTACCAAAGCTGATACGCGCATATCAAGACCTTGTCTTTCTAGTGCTCTGGTCAATTCGGCCACAACATCTTGCCCAACCTATTAATCCAGAAACAAAAACAGGTCAAATAGAGATGAAAAACGAAAAATAAATAAATAAATAAATAATTGGAGTCATCAATAGCATAGTAAGCCAAGGAATTTCCCACAGAACTTGGCATGCTATTAAATTGTATTTTCCTTCTAACCATGATGTCCTTCATGCTTGCAACAGTAAAGTACTCCATTCTAACTCATGATTATAACAATGCTAATTGAAACAATTGCTAGTCCTTCTAATAGACTACTTCGAAAAAGATGTAACATCTACAAGAAATGCGTATAAAAAGGAGGAGTAATGAAGAAAAGTTGTGAATATTCACCACATCCTCAATATTGAAGCCTTTTGTCCACTTAATAAGGGTCCCAGAATCAATCGATGTCTGCATCACAGGGAATGAGAATGTAAAACCAAGTTCCCTTTGTCTGCCAGGAGGAAGCTGGAAATCTTCACCTTCTTGGGCAACAAATTTTGCAAGTTCAGCCGCAATATAGTCAAACAGTGTCTGAAATGATAAAAATTACCGAGACTCAAAAAACCAGTTCGATAAAGCAGATAAGAATATTATAATAGGTGTAATCATAAAATACTCACATCTGAACTTCCAACCATCAGATCTTGTGGGATTGACACCTCAGCAAATTCTTGATTCACAATTCCACCATCCTTCCCCCCAAGCTGCACCCGCAACACCCGGAAGTTTGTTCCTCCAAGGTCCAACGCATAGAAGAGCCCTTTTTCATTCCTAAATAGGGAGAAACAATAAAGGCGGGGAATAACTCAATATGAGTGTCTTTCAAATTATGAACATACGCAGTTAACAAACAGTTGAAAGCAGAAAAATATGAAAAGAAAATTGAGATTCTTTAAGATTTACCATTATTCCATAAGGGAAATCTACCATTCTACATTTAGAGAGAGAGAGAGAGAGATAAGTGCCGAAGAGACTAACAGAATTCTAATTTCTTTTTCCCTCCAAAGCTAATTGCTTTTCACACGACAAGTGGAAGCTAAATATTCAAATATTGAAAGATCCTTTAATTATCGGAAAGTTTATAACAGAAAAATAAAAACTTAGGGTTAGCAATTATACAACCAATCACAATAACAACGCCTTCATCCAAACATGACTAAAAGCCTGATATTCCAATTCATCATTAGGATTTTAAGGGCTGTTTGGCTACACTTGGGTGTGTCAGGCCCTGTCAAATTTGCAGCATTTGAATGCTGATAATGACCTAGATTAAAAACAGTGACAGCAAATTGGATAATTGATAAACTATATTGCAAAAAAAAAAAAAAAAAAAAAATCAATAGTCAATCGGCGAATTCAGATTAAAGAGCCCTTCACACTACGTAAAGTCTTGGACTTTTGAGACTGATATGAATGAACACTGATAAAGCATTAGTCTTGATCGATATTCTAACGAATAACGACTGATGAATTCAATTGACAATTGCATCAAATTACGATAATCTGAAATATTGACGCGAAAACAAAAGGAACTTCAAATGGATCGAAAGACTTTTAAAAAAAAAAACAATTATCAGATTACGAGACGATACAAAGCGAGAAAAAAAATGGAAATTTTACCCGGTAGGGAGATTGTCGACATAGCTGATGAGCATCTTGAGCTTGCTGCCGCCCTCGGAGGCGAGGCCGGCGTGCATCTCGACGGTCATGGCGTCGGCGACCTGCCTAAGCTTGGCAAGGGGGGTCCCACAGCGCTCATCGAGATCCGCGACGATCGCCATCGCGCGCACCCACCTGGCTGAGCTCCGCATGCGGTGGCGCACCAGCAGCGCCGCCGCCGCGCACACCGTAGCCGCGCCGATGACTGCCAATCCCACCGCCACCTTCCCCATTTCGCGCTGCGGCTGGCTGACTTGTCGAAGGAAAAAGGGCAAAAAGCGATAATTTCACCGCACTAAGAGATCCCTCGATTTCTGGGAATAGAATATAAAGGAGTTTTTTTTTTTTATAATGAATATGAAGGCGTTTTAAAATATTAATAATATGGTTGGGACCTCATACACGTATATTTCTCATGTCTTTAAAATTAAATGAAAATAAAAGAATTACGCAAGACATACAATTTCAAATAGCTGTTTTGTTACGGGACTCGTACCCCGATTTAAATTATGGTTCGTGGTTCATTACAGTATTTTTTCTTAAAAAAAATACACGTAAATCGAAAATGATTATAATCTCATTATTCTAATCCATAAACTAAACGTAATCTCACGATTAACAAACATATATCTGCTCGTTGTTTATTTATTTATTTATTTTTAATAATACTCGCGGTTTATTTTTTAGGTTATAAAAAAAAAGTGTCTTAATAATACTATTGTAGCAAATTCATTATTATTGAAATTAGTATCGTCCTTATTTTTAAGACAATTTTCATAATTATTCCTAATTTGATAGGGTTTTTGGAAACTTATTACTCGAATTTTTAATTTAGTAATTTATCTATCAACTTTATAAATTATTTCAATATGCCCCTTTTTACTACTTTTGTTATGATTTTTTGTCATATGTGAGGGTTTGAGAGTTAGGAATCAAGATATTTATGTAATGGATTGAATTGAAATGTTAAAATTTTTTGCCAAACGTACTTTTTCGTCAATAATTGTCAAATGGGCACATCGTAACAGTTTTACAAGTTGGGGAGCAAATCATCAAAATTAAAAGTTTAAGCAAAAAGTGTCAAAACCCTATGAATTAAAGGATAAATGTGTAAAATAGTCTTAGTTTTATTAGATTGGGTTTGTTTGTTGTACAATATATTATAAATGCTTTTTAGTCCTTAATTTTATGTATGACTGGTAAGGACTTCTTTGTTTTTTTTTTGTTTTTTGAAGTATAACTTCGGAAATACGGCATTATATAAGGAAACGAATGGGAAATGGAATAAGACAAACATGGAATATCTTCATACCACTCAAGGTAAAGATAACTAAAGAAAACCAATAGTAATATTAATTATCCAAGGATAAGGGAAACAAAAAGAAAGAAAAAATATTTTGTCCTTTCCTTGTCTACTAGTTTATCCTTTTATCTATAAAGTTTGTTATCACATTCGAATTACTTATAATTTACATTAAGCAATATTAAGTTTTCTTTTTTGAATCACAATTCATATTTTTTAAAAAATATAGTATTTTACAAGTTTCCTATACAAAGAAGTCCTCAAATTGAGTCATGTCAAAGATTCAAAAATTGATCGAACAATGGCTACAATGGTAGGAAGGCAAATACTCAAGGGACGTTTGGTTGGAGGATTCAAACTATGATTTGAATCATGGTTCATGGTTCGTTACAGTGTTTTCTCTCACAAAAAATACACATAAATAAAAAATAGTTTCAATCACATGATTCTAATCCATGAATCAAACGTCTCTTTATATTCCAATTTGCTCTTCATCTCAGCCCACACGCAATAATAAGAGGCTGGTTCAGAAGCTTGAGGTGAATATTGAACCGTGTGCTAATAAATCTTAATGGAACCAACAAACTTCATTTCTACAAAATGAATTTGTTGCGTGCCTGTCATCTCATACCACTCAAAATAATCTTCAATGTTTTCTAACCAATTAAGAAACATTTTGATTGTCGGGTCTAATCTTCCATTCGTATATACTTGGGTGTATCAATTTTTATCATCCTCAAAATATCCAAATTCATCAAGATTCCTATGAGGCATCTACGGATAATTGAACAATCTGGATTTCCTCCGGAATTCATGAAAATCATTAGCCAGTTTGGTCACAAGATAAAAGCGGTGACCAATGCGGTTATTAATACGAGTAACTCGTTCATCCAATCGGCAAATTCGGGTGGCCAATTGGTTATGGCTTCTCGAAGCATCTGAAAAAACTAGTACCGAGTCTTTCTTAGTTATTGTGTCAAAAGTGGTTTGAAAGAAGGACGAAAGAAGGGGTTTCTTAAACCAAAAAAAAAAAAATTGTTTTTGTCTAATGAAACTACTTCACTTTGATACTATCAGAGAGTAGATATAGAAGAATTCAATCAATATAAAAAAAAAAAAAAAACAGAGTATATGGGGCACTTGCGAGATCAAAATATAGAGCTAGAGGTGAGAAAATGTATCCACGAGAAGAGAAATAGAGAATTCAAGAGAATAATAAGAACATAGTAGAAAGGAAAAAGAAAGAAGTATCAATTTCTTATGAAGTCTAAAAATAAACTTTAAGTATCCTATTTATAGTAGACAAATCTTGTTGGAACAAAATTTCGTCCAATATTTATTCAACGTTTCTAGATTGATAATTTAGATTGAATAAGTAAATAATTTAAGAAAATTAGAAGAACAATTAAAGAACATAAATAAACTCAAAAAAATAATAAGAACAAAGTGAAGATAATCACAATGTAATTGTATTCCAGAATGAGTCTCTATTTCCTCTCAAATCGAGAGAATTTACAGTATATTAGAAATTAGAGATTTAATTCTTTTCATTAATTCGAGAGTTTATTCTCTCTTTAATTCCAATAAGATTCTTCGGGTGTTACATTTGACAAATAATTAATAAAAGAATTAAACTTAAGTAATTGAATGCCTTTAATTGTTGACTATTACTTAACATTGATGATTGATGACTCTTGACCTTCTGACTTCTTCCTTACCTGAGCATAATTTCCATAGCGCATGCTCGGGTGTTACCCTAGCGCACGGTCGGGTGTTACCCTAGTATACGCTCAGATCGCCCGAAAACTTAGTACATCTTTTATTAACTCCAAAAAATCCATCTAGCTAATCCCAAAGCAAATTATTTGTCATCTAAGATCTACCGTCATCATTTTCTTGTCTCAATAGCTATTCAATCGCTAATTATTTGTCATCTCATATAAATTTAAGAATCTAACTATATAAATAGGAACAAAATACTAAAAATACTTAATCAAAACATGAGGTGTCAAATTTTAATTGGTAGAACATCTACTGAGACAAAAAAATAGAACAACAGATCTTAATTCTTTCGAAAAGGACCTGTAAGTTCAAACTTCTCCCATGCTTCAACAAAGTCCACACATAAAATAACCGATCACGTTGTTAGAAAATGTTTTCTGTTTTTTTCAGTTTCAATTTTTATACTCAACTTCTCCATTTCTTCTCTTAGGTGTCACAAAAAAACCAAGCGAACGCATTCTCTCTCCGGTTCGTGGAATGTTGGAAGCTTTTCCGTTTGCCATCTACTTACTGAGAAGATACTGGCACTACAACAAAAAAGGCCATTTGCGATGATAGTTTTTGCGACGATATTTGTCATCGCAAATAATACACTATTTACGATGACATGTCGTCGCAATTACTCCCCATTTAAAAAAAAAAATCATGTCGTCGCTAATAACTTAAATGTCGTCACAAATAATTTTGGAGCGCAAATTTCAATGATGCGGATTTTTGCCGCCAAGGTAATCCATTTTTTGCGACGACAAGTCGTCGCAAATAATAATATATTTGCGACGACTTGTTGTCGCAAATAATTTCATGTTATTTGCAATGACATTTTCTCTTTGTCGTCGCAAATAATCTTTTCAAGATTTTACCAAAAACCAAACGCGGGAAAAATGATTATTTGCGACGACATTTTGCATTTATTTGCGACGACATTTGCCGTCGTAAATAATTTCATGTTATTTGCGACGACATTTTCTCTTTGTCGTCGCAAATAATCTTTTCAAGATTTTACCAAAAACCAAACACGGGGAAAATGATTATTTGCGACGACATTTTACATTTATTTGCGACGATATTTGTCGTCGCAAATAATTTCATGTTATTTGCGACGACTTTTTCTCTTTGTCGTCGCAAATAATCTTTTCAAGATTTCACCAAAAAACTAAACGCGGTAATAATGATTATTTGCGACGGCATTTTAAATTTATTTGCGATGACAATGTCGTCGCAAATAAGTCTGAACTAATATACCCTATCTTCTTCCTCTTCATTTTCCTCTGACGCTTTCTATCTCTCTCCTGCTAAGTCTCTCTTTCTCTGCCTCTTCTTCCCCTCGCCGCCGCCATTGCCCGTCGCCACCGGCCCTCTTCTCTCTCTCTTCCCTTCTCTCTCTCTCTCTCTTCCCTTCTGTCTTCTTCCCCTCTCCGGTTGTCGCTGCTGCTCCCGCCGCCCCGACCCCGCCACTCCTCTCTCCTCTTCTCTCTCTCTCTCTTCCCTTAGTGAGGTATCTCTCCGGTTCGTTTTTATTCCTATCGATTTTAAATATAATTTCATCTGATGCAAAATTTCTTTGCTGTTTCTAAAAATTATGGAAAATTTGTCCGAAATGTATAAAATAGTTGCTAAGGACAAAGATTGGGGATTAGAGACTACTGCCAGGAAGATAGCTGATTCACGAAATTGCTATTTAAATGTGTGAAAACTGAATTTATGAAGGAATGTTAATATATGGACACAAATTGGTTTGAAATTTTGAAGTGCTTCTCATATATTGCGTTTGGTTAATGATTTCCTTCTGTTTTGCTCTTGCTTTTTGTTAGTACGACCTTCTGTTTTAACTATATTGATTGCTTGTTAGAGTTTTGAAGCCAATCAAGGTAGATTAGAGCTTGTGCTTGTGCACGACTTAAATAGGTTTTTTTTTTTTAAAATTTAATATTTGCTCTTTGTTGCTGTTAAAAATGTAGTCATTAGTCACACAATAAAGTTTGACTCGTTTCCAGGCAGGTGCTGGGGCATCGAAGAAGAGTCGGTTGCGCGCACGGGGAGACACTTGCCTGTGCGCAGGGGGGCACTGCCGCGGGAGGGGGGGCACGGAAGCGCACGCAGGGGGCCACGGCGCACACGCGGGGGCTCACTGTCGCGCGCGCTTGGGGCCACGGCCGCGCGCTCAAGGAGGCACTAGCGCGCGCGGCATTTTTTAAAAATTATAAAAAAAAATTAATTTCAGTTTTTTGCGACGACTTTTTTAGACTTGTCGTCGCAAAAAAAAAAGATTATTTGCGACGACAATTTGAAATGTCATCGCAAAAAATGATCATATGATGAGAATTTTACGACGACGTATTAACGATGCTTGTCGTCGTAAATACAGAGTGTCATCGCAAATACATTTGCGATGACACTGTGTCGTTGCAAAAAATGTTTTTGCAACAAAATATTTGCGCCAACAAATTTACGACGACGTGTCGTCACAGAAAACTTTATTTGTGACAACATTTGGGTTTTTGCGACGACTTTTTGTCGTCGCAAAAACCCCTTTTTCTTGTAGTGTGGTAAAATCTGTTTTGAGTTCAATATTTCTTGAAGGCGGAAAGCTGAGAACTATCTTATTGCTTACTTGAGCGGTTAGGTATTGAACTATGGGTTCATAATTTCAAATCTTTTCTTGTTCTATGATATTAAAATTGTAAAGAATTTAAAGGCCATTACCATGAGTTTGTTAAAAACATAGCTTCCATTTTATGTAATTGTTTGTCCAAAGTTGAACGCATGGCGAGAGAGAGAGAGAGAGAGAGAGAGAGAGAGAGTGTTCAACGTTGTTAATGAACGGCACAAAGTATACATTGGTCAAACGGGCTGCACACTGCAAACTATGGTCCTACCCACATTAAATCAGTATCCCAACAAACAAGATCCCAAACCCTTAACCACAAAACACTAGACGCTGCCACAGTTGTGACCACCACGACGACGAAAAGAAAACACGATGACACTTTTGCCTCCCCACAAAAAAAAAAAAAAAAAAAAAAAAGGGATAAAAGGAAACAGAAGAAGAAAGAAAGAAAGAGACCTCTACACAATAAGGAGCTGCCAAGTTCCGAGTTTCCAAGCATATAATTAGCAAATACTATACAGAGAAACGGATGAAGCTTCTAAGTACTTCTTGGTCCTTCAGAAAAATGGCTAACTTGAATTCTCGGATTAACCTTTAATGGATTCCACCTCGGTCCAGACAAATTTGAATACACAAATCATGCCTGAAAAAAGGAAAGAAATGAAAGTCCGCCGTAAAATCACTTACCCGATCTGCTGGCTTTATCTCTCTTTCTTCTAAGCCTCCACATATTCGACTCTATAAAACTTCGGTTACGCTGTTGATGTTAGACTACACCTGTTGATAAAATAACCAAAAGACCGCCAACAAGAAAAGGCAACAGAAAGATAATCAATTACGATATGCAGCAAAGAAACAATATCTAGAAGTTCAAAACACGTGCCTTACTACCACAGCCCTCGAGTTAACACCACTGCTGGAATCAAGTGACATCCCGAGCGAACCATTTGGCTTCAAAAAAACAAGAAATCAGGTAGTCTTGTCAGTGCAAAATATATATCCAAGATTTAGACACATAGGTTAAAAACCAAATGCAAATATGAAAGGGGAGTTAACATGTTTTTCATTGAATCCTGCATCAGAAGAGTTAATATCCATAGTATAGAGAGTATTGAGGACCAAGAGAAAAGTCCAGTATTAAGTTTAGAAGAAACGTAGTCGTATCCCATAAGTTCATCTTACTTATAGGAAACCCGTCAGTCGGACTTGAAGAAATAAAGAGGTACTAGTACAAAAAGCATGGCTATACATACCAAAAACAATGGAAAGGAAAAAGAAAAATGATAGACCAAACAAAATAGGAAAAAAACTTAAAATAGAAAACCTAACGTTTCCTTTGATCCATCTTTAAATACCATGTTGCCATTTACAAATCCATTCTGCAAGAGCTGTTCAAAGTCTGCCTCACATGAATCACCCTGTACGGATTCAGGGTCATTGCTGTCTTGAACACTGCCTTCAGGACTCCCAGTGACGGTCACTGTTTCAAATCCAACATCCTCACAAGAAGTGCCCTCACTTGTGACATTTGTAATGACACTGGAATTTGAGGTACATCCGGTCTCAGTCTCTGATACAACCAACTCCACATTAGAGCTTTTATCTGTCTCAATCAATCTTAGCACTCCCTTAACATAGTCGGTCCCAGTACTTGCCTCTCTCAAAGTGTCAGCATGGTGCACCATATTTTTTTCGACAGCAATTTCCATTATAGAAGGCAAATGGTCTGTAGATACAGTATTGGAAGACATTGAATTGTGCTGTTGAGGAGATACACAGCTTAAGCTGTGAACACTACTTTCAGAAGAGATTGAACTGTCCTGCTGAGGACTAGTACATTGTTGTTTTTCAGGCGTACCCAGCTTATCATTCAGTGCATCAGAATCCCTTTTCCTCTTAAGGCCAGTAGATACACCGCTTATCCTGTGATCAACAATTTCAGGAGAAATTGAACTGTGCTGCTGAGGACCAATACTCTGCTGTTTCTCTGGGGAACCTACTTTATTATCCAAAACCTCAGTGCCCTTTTTCTGCTTAAGATAATGTCTGCCAGAATCATTTTGACTGCGTTTATCTTCAGATGGCTTATCAGTCTTTGGTGTAATGAGCCTTGACGGACGAGGCCGTCTATAACCATCTGGGAACACATAAGAAGGAATCTGCCTTTTACGAACATGAGATACATAGATCTCCATACCTGGCTTCCAAAACATATACATATTAATAGAATGCCTGAACTCATCCACAGACCCCCGTATATCAAACTGCTGACCCTCCTGGATGGTTTCCCCCTGTTTCCTCTGCAAACCCATGAAGAAAGCACAATGGGCACACTGCTTGGTCGCATCAATGTACTCATGTGGATAAGGATGACACTGTAACTTCCCTATAGTGTCCCGCTCAATCTGCAAATGTTTTAAAAATACAAAAATAAAAGAAGGCGGGAAAAATTCTCACTAAAAATTATTTTGTAGTATTACAGTCTCGTACAACATATATATTGCATGGAAAGCCAATAAAAGTTGTTGAAAATACCATTAAGGTCAGTTGCCTCAACCGAGATTCCACCCAGCCTTTCCAAGCACGCAAATCATCAACATCAGCTGCGACAATGTCAACCTGGAGATAGTTTTTATAGCTCTCAAAGAACAAGTACGGCTCAAATAGAGAATTCCACAGGGAATTATTCAGCTCTATCTCCTGGTGTTGGATAATAAAAAGGAAAAAGGAAACAGTAGTCATTGAAGGAGACCAGATAAATATCTACTGAAAAACAATAAAGGAAACCTACCACCCACCTGACAAACCTGGTTACCACATTGAAACTGTTCCATCATAACACGGAGTGTACTTGTAGAAACATTATAGCTAGAATTCATACAAGGATAAGCAGGAGTTATGATCGGCATGTGGTGAGTTCGGTCACGAGGATTTTTACGAGGATCCCAAACTGAAAAACCAAGCTCATCCTCTTCAATGGCACATAGCATAACAGGATTTGGCCATCGCCACTGTGTATAGACCCTAAAAAATCGAGAGACCAACATACTTGGAACTGCATTAGGATAAAGCTGGCACACTCGGGCAACAAGAAGGGCCCAATTCACACCCCCAAGAAATCCAGTCACCTGAACACATTAAGACAACCAAGGTGGAAAACAACATTCAAAATAGAAGTGAAGTAAAATCTTTCAGTAGGGAAGGTGAGAGAGAAGAACTCACATTGGAATACACACCACGCCTTTTGGCCCAAAACTTCATGCATCTCAATGTTGTGCGAAAATGCTACAACAAATAGTCAACAAAAAAAGAAATCAAGCACAGAATCAATCACAAACAGGCATGTTTTTACCATCTGAAGAAGATAATTAACTACGTAGGGAACACTTCACCTCAACATTTGGAACAAGCTTAAGAATTTGATCTGCAACCCTGCAGCCATTAAGACTTCGAACAGTAGGCTCATCGACATTGTACAATACCGACAAATCCGAGATGTCCAAGTTCTGTTAATGAATTCACTATCAATTCCGTTAATGAATTCACTATCAAAATAACTTCAAAGAAATGTCTCAAACCACAGAAAATGAAAGTTCATGCAAGAATTACAATTTCCAACCATTAACAGTGGAATCAGGCATGACATTAATACTAGCATTCAACAAGGCACCCATAAGAAGATTGTGTAGCACTCATCTCCGAGATTGTAAAAAAAGAACTTCCAGTCAAGCAACATGATACGTCAAAACATTTTCACAGACACACAGAAGAACTGAATCAAGATTGAGATATCTAACAGCATACATCATAAGAGTTCAACAAATGCAAAAGCAAGTCAACATAAACATGTGTAAAGATCTACATAAACAACCCCAGCAATGATGAAATACATATTAAAAGCCTCTGACTATGTGAACATGTATGGTACTAAATTCTTGCGGACAGTCAAACAAAGAATGAGTCATTATCACCATATGATTATTCATAATCAACATTGAAAAGTATCAAAACCCAGGAAAAAAAGTCTTAAACACAAATAATAGAGAAAAAATAAGATTCACAAAATCATTCCCTTCTAGACAGTGATGAAAATGAAGACGGAAAAGCAAAAACAAACGTTTGTACACACTCATAAAGATTTTTGATGAACATCTCCTTTGCATAAGAAGTGTTAGATAACAAATCTAAAGGGGGAAAAAAAATACCCTTCATTAACCAGAAATAAGTTCACCATATGGTCAACAGATTTGCAGATTGTCTGGTTTTGGAATGAGTCCATAAAGAATAAAGAAAAAAAATACACGAGAACTTACTTCTGGTACAACCAAGAGAGAAATACTCGCATAAAGAAGATCAACAGATATTCCATCAAACTTGAATTTCATTACTGGGACATGCGCATCTGGGACTGGTTGTAACTCTGTTACTTCTTCCATGTCTGCCAGAATGTTATGCAATATATAGAAGAAATCCTCCTGTAGCAGTAATTAAAAGAAAAAAGAATTAAGTGTTACATACATAATGTGAGCATATTCACTTCACCTAAGACAAATTTCCTGAACTCAAGTGCTTACACAAAGAAATAGGGGCATATTCACATCACTTACAAATTTCCTGAATTCACTATTTACCTCACGATTCACATATGATGGCCCAACGCATAATGTGTCTATATCGGCCCCAGGACCATGCACCTACAAAATATTTATGAGTATAGGTTAGGCATCTATATAAAAAGGGCAAACAGCACAAGTATCTAGATGGCCTACCACCCCACGAATATCCCAATAAAACAGGAAGGTTCAAGAGCAAACCAGAGCTCAGTTACCTTTGCAATTTAGAACCCAAAGCCAACAACCAAGTTGCCACCAACAATATGGAGGAAAAGGTTAGAAAAAAGAAACACTCACATACCCAATAATTAATAGAGCTACCGAATATCATAACTGGCGAGGTGGGGATGGTTAAAATCAAAGAAACTTACAAACATGTAACATTGCGTTTAAAAATTTAATTACACAACAAAAGTTAAACCATAAGGCAAGATTTCCCGTATAACAATAAGAGCAAAGATAATCACCCCAAGCCGATAAGAACCAAAGGTAAAAATTACAGCATTTGCATCCTCAACCATTTGAGCCGTGTAACCTCTTGCTCTAGTGAGTTGTTTCACCCAATCTTTGACAATCTAACAAAGAAAAACATACAGATAGTTAGGACGATAAATTTACGAAAAAACATAGAAAAGAAAAAAGAATAGGTCCTTCGTTTATTATTTTTTTTTAATCATAGTACCAAAAAACACATATGGCAAATCAAAAGAACTCTACGGTAAGTCAAAGCACAAAGTTAGTTCAGAGTTTTCAATTACGACACCCAAAAACAGTCTTAAAATATCTTGAAATAACATTGATACTAGTTACAATTCAGTGACAAATAATAGCTTACATATAGAGTACCATAGTCTCTTCCCATATCAAGGCAAGAAAGGAAAAGAAGCTAAACCCGCTTTAATATGTAACCTACAATTTGCATAACACAGAATTGATACCTATTCATGCTTTACAACTTCTTCTGTTTTTAACGCAAGCAATATTAATCCCAACAAAAGAATCATAATTGCAGTCCAAAAAAAAAAAAACAATTCACTTATAGGAATTCACATAAGCTACTATCTCGGTGGCAAACAATTTGCTCGAATCATTATTAAATCACCTGTCCAATACGATGAAGAACAGCTCCTCTTTTGGCAGCTTCCTCTTTGCTCTCGTAAAGCCCAACGTCAACCAAAAACTTCGTTCCCCATTAACAAAAAAAACAAAAAAAAACAAAAAACACCCTTCAGACTGAAGCCTCAAAAACATAAACAAATTCATCCCTTAAAACAAATAATAAAATAACAATAAGAGGAAGGCCAAACCAAACCTTCTCCAACTCCAGAGTCCTCTGGATATCAACGTCTGTGGGGCCCGCTGTAGATATCGGCTTTGTCACGCCGTACTGCTTCGCCGCCGCTTGAAGAAGCGGCGGCGTAGCACTCAATCCCTCTGGCCTCACCATCTCATTGCCCAACAAATATAAAATAAAAATAAAAATTGAAAAACTAACGAGTATTCGGAAACCCTAGAAATTTCTGATGAAAATATTTTTTGAGAAAAAAAAAATTGGACACGAAAAGAGAAAATTGAACCGAAAATCGTAACCACGAAATTGAAGAAGATGACAAGCCCTCCACCAAGAGAAAAAAGCCTCGCGTGACGAAAGGAAAATCGGAGAATTTCCCGGGAATGTAAGAAAATCGAAGATATCGGAGATGATCGAAAACCCTAAGAGAAAAAATAGGATACTTCTTCGAAACCAGATCAATAAGCACAAAGAAAACGGAAGAAGGAAACACAGAAAAAAGGAAACCCAAAGTAAAAATCTATGGAGAGAAGGAAGCCCTAGAAGCGGAGGGCATGTGGAAGAGAGAGAAAGAAGCCCTAGAAGAGGAGGGCATGTGGAAGAGAGAGAGAGAGAGAGCCGGCCTGTTGTGTCGGAGGTCTCGGAGAGAAAGAGCGCGTTCGTTTGGTGTTGGGACCGATTCTGGGGTGAGTTTCTTGAATTTTAGTTAAAGATAGATTTTTGGGAGGTTGGATTTTTTTTTTTTTCATTGGATATTTTTATTCTTATATATTTTTTAGAGCATTTTTATTCTTATATTTATCTCAGAAATTTTGGTGATCTTTTTACAAATGATCGAATCTTTTTTTTGGAAAAATGACTGAACTTTTTAGGAGAACATGTTTTTACAATGATTAATCATTGATATATTGTAAGTTTATTATTGATTTAATAATGGTTCACCACTAATAAATAGATAGATTAATTTTTAAAAATTTATTTATTATTAAAAAATACTTGACAATCAAGATAAACCACTAAATTAATAAGTAACCGTCATTAATAAAAGATATTATTCTTAATTTATAAAATTTCAACCATTCATTAAAAATAGTTAAAAAAGGGATCGTTTTTTCACACATATTCCTATTTATATTTAAATAAAGATTACTTATATATTTCTTTTTTAGGGACACTTTTTTTTTTGGGGGTAATGCGCTTGGTAAAGGATAAATGAGTAATTGCAATTAAGCGATTTTGGCTTTTCTGGTGATGTTGTCCACGTCTAGCCGACGGCCTCACGTGTGTTTCACTTTGCGGTGAGAGCTGGCACGACATTGCTGCCTTCCCAATAGCCAATAACTCAAATGAAAAGAGTCGCTGAGCGAAAACGACAACAAAAGCATAGAGAACGACATAATCATTTTAGAATTTAGACGAAGTTTTACTGCAACATTTTTTGAATATAGAAAGTTAGAAATAGAACAAAAAAAAATGAAAGAATATTCGCTTTGAGTTACTATAGCCTATGGGGCTGATTATATTTTTATTTTTATTTTTCTAAACAATTATATGGCAATGCAAAAAAAAAAAAAAAAAGAACTCCATCGCTATGCCAACGTTTGATATCTTTAGATAATTTTTAAAATTATGAGTGAAAAGGTATGTAAAATTAAAGAATCTTGATTGGAGATTTTCCGGGAATAAATATTAGACTATATGGTATTTTTTTCAAACTCAATCAAAAGAATTATATTTTTTTTCTAGTCAAGGTAACATTGTTATAATTTCGTTTACATAAGAGAATGACCACATCCAAAAAATTATCACATCAATCATAACCTTTAAAAATTATGTCATCGATTGAACATAAAGTTTTTGACCCAATTATGCTTTAAAAAAGAAAGTTCAGTTTCACTCCTATCAGTATAAATCAAAAGCTAAACAGTCGATTGATCGAGTAGGAATTTTAGGTCCAATATTTTTGTACTTTCTTTTTTCCTAGAAACAATATTTTTGTAGTTGAATGTATAGCATCCGGTGACTAGTATTGCATTCCATTCTCATAAGAATCCAAATATTAATTTGACGTTTGTTTCACAGATTCAGAATCATGATTTAAAATAATGATTCAGAATCATTCTCGATTTATGCATTTTTTTGTGAGAGAAAATACTGTAACAAATCACGAATCATGATTCGAATCATAACGCGAATTTTTATACCAAACACCCTATAATTCTTCTACGATGACTTTTCTTTTTTGTGTTTGTAAAATAGTTATTAAGAATATGCTTTTAATAAATGAGCTAAGGAGACGTTTGGTTGGAGGATTCAAACCATGATTTGAATTATGGTTCATAGTTCACTACAGTATTTTCTCTCACAAAAATACACGTAAATCAAAAATAATTCTAATCACATAATCTTAATCTATAAACCAAACGTCTCCTAAATTATTTAGTTGATCAAAATCTCTCGAGATTAAAAGTCTAACAATAAAATATTGGTGCGACCGTGCGGTTACGTAGTTAACTTTTCAACTGTCATTAATAAAATTCAATTAACTCCACTAGTGAGATTTGATTATTACTTGCGTGACTGTTCTGTTCCAAGTCATCGAAGTCAAAATCACATTAACTTGGGCTTTTAATTGGGTCTATAGAAGAAGAGAAGCTGGTCGCCTGGCCTAATCTTAAGATTGGGCCTCCAAATATTTTGTCTGCCAAGTTGCCAACCAGTGGTCCAAATATACAGGCCTTTTATTTTGTGTCCAGTGTACCACTCTACCAAGTGGTCGCTCTGTGTCTGCAAGAAAATTGATACCTATTAGTGGAGTGGTCCGGGGGATAGATTCAGAATTTTGTGCAATTAATTTTACCATTTAAATTTAGAATTTAAGTTTTACTATAATAAAAAACTCTCACATGTAGTCACATTTTAACTCGAATCATCGAATTAAGCGGGCCCTAAATAACTACCATCTCCAACTAAAACTGCACAAAAGTATGGTCCAATTTTACGACAGGAGCAGCTTTGCCATTAATATACTATTTGGACTTCAATTTTGGTGGCAGATGATTGAAACACTTCCTAATTCATATTGAGCAGTTGTTTACTCGTTTGTGCAATTATTGTCTTACCATATTTATATACTTTTACCGATTATACATTTTTCTTTAAAAAATAGTGAAGTTAACGTTCTTGTAGTTTTTTTTGTTTGATAAAAAAATGCTAACTGTCATTTTATAATAGTTGTCTTTTTATTATTCTATCTCTTAATTATAATTATCCCTTTATCAGAATAGATCATTTTAAACAAATTTAAAACAAAAGGGACAATACAAATTACATTAGACAATGTTGATTTCATTTCACATTAAATTTTAAAGCCCATTTCTAAACAAAATTATTATTTTTTTCGAAGTCTACAAGGTTTGGTTATCCTATATTTTGTAATGACCATTATGAGGGTGACTACCTAAACATTTTCTTGTTACACATGTTCTGATTGTGGTAACCCAAATTGGTCCAAATTTTGAAGAGAAATGATAATATAAAAAAATTAGAACCAAGCTCAACCAATAAATAATGCTTTCTAGGTTCATCTCCATCTATTACATCCACAATTGGTGCAATATAAAAAAATTTCAAACAAAATAGCAAGATATGCATTCAAAAACTCCAAATCGAATCTTTTTCAAATGATCATAACAACCATAGTCTTATTACCATTATTATTATAACAATAGATGCATATCGTTCTACTTGGATTAAAAAGAAACCTGTATTTAGCATTTGTTCAAGTTTGAAAAATTATAGAAAGCGAAAAATTTATGAAATTTCAAATCCCAAGATTGCCTTCAAAAATCTATCCAATCCAGCCCCTCTTTCTATCTTTCTCCGTAGTAAGCTATGTTGCATTGTTCCAAATCTATTTCCAGAGCAGCTTGACTGCACTCAATTGAGGAAAATACCACTTTTCCAACTAAAGCACATTGCTTCAGAGATTTTCTGCAGAGAAAATGTGGCAGAGAAACTGAGCTAGAAATGATGGAGAACCAGTGAGAAGGAAAAAAAAAATCTTTCTGGTAAAACCTTTCCCCTTTGATGCAGAGAGTGATACGGAAACTGAAAGATTTGTTCGTTTATTTAATTTAATTTTATTGAAATTGAATTTTTTTTCTCTCTAACCCAAGAAAAGAAAGCGATGTCTCAGGCCTATTTTGGGTCAATTTGTTTGGGACAAAGAGAAGCTATAAAAGGGGTCCTTTTTGTTGGGCAAAGGCCTTAAATGCGCTGCTCAGCGAACTTGTAGACTTCTAGTACGGAGAGAGAAGACTGAGATTGAGAAAGAGAGATATGAGAGAAAGTTTTGGCTTTAAGAGGGGCATGGGTTTTGTCACAACACTCTCTGTGTAATAATACTCAAAAAAACAAAAAAAAAGAAGATTTTTAGGCGTAAAAATTGAAAGAGATTCACGGGATTGATTTTTGATTGTCAGTTTGGGTATCTTTTTAATTTTTACATGTTGCTCCAGAAAGGTGGAAATAAATCCATTTTCTTTTATAGAGAGGAAAAAAAGTTGGGGGATTTTTAGTGCTCTTTTGCATTTTTGCATGTAGTCATTGGAGAAAGCCAAAGTGGTGCAAAATCCAGCGCTAGTTTTTTGAATTTGAGAAAGGTGAGTGACGCTCAATCTTTCCTTTCTGCCATTTTTATTCCCGTTTCTCTCAAAAACTCTCATTTTTGTTCACTTGTCTGTAAATTCTTGTTTGTTTGCTGAGAGGTCAGATTTGAAGTTTTCTTTAAATATTATTACTTTTCAATTGAGTTTTTTTTTTTTTTTTGAAGTTGAACCCCTTTCCTGTGTCTTTCTGTGACCCCTTTTTGTCTTGTAACGCAGTTCTTCACGAGGTCTTGTCAGAATTTTATTTCCAAATAAGAAAAAAAGAAAGAAAGAAAAAAAGAAAAACACTCCCTTCAGTCTTCATCCGTAATTTTTTTATTTTAAGGTTTCATAATGCTTTTTGTTTGTTAATCTTTTGCTCCACACTTCTCTGCTCGCAACCTGTAAAGATTCGAAAAGATCTCTCAGAAACATTTCTGCTCATTATAAAGCCCCCCACCCCCACCCCCACCTGAGCCTTTGGATTCACTTCTATATAATTTTTTCAAATTTTTTTTTTAATTATTTTTCTAATGTTCTCTTATTATTTTCTCCCACTATAAAGAGTGCTACAAAAAATATACATATACATATACGAAGAAAGCTAACGTGTCGTTTTTTGTTCAATGTTGATTAAGCACTCCACTTGGGTTGTTTTCCTTAGTTTCACTTCCTTCACATATTCTGTGTCGTCGTCTGTCTCTTTCTTTATCACACACCCCACACACGGTGGAGGTTGAGTTTTCCGTTTTCTTTCTTGGGGTGTCTGTTTCTCAAATATAAATCTCCAATCTTTGGCTCATTCACTTGGTGGGTAATCTCTATTTGTTTCTCTTTCTAGAGTTAGAGAGAGAGAGAGCGAGAGAGCGGAAAGAGAGAAGTCAAGTCTGCAATGGGAAAAGCTACGAGATGGTTGAAGGGCTTGTTGGGAATGAAGAGGTCAGATAAGGAAAATCTCCAGAGCCCAAGTTCAAACGCGTCTGACCGGAAAGAGAAGAAAAGATGGAGCTTCGGAGGCGGCAAATCTGCCAGAGCAAC